CTGAATCCATAAGAAAAGCTTGGAAGCAATATACTGTAAAACTCCAGTGGTCCGGCATCCAATGGTCTGGAACCCAGAAGTGCTCCAAGCAGCCGGACAATTGGAGCTGCTCTGCCCCTGGCTTAAACGAGTCAGCTACTGGTCAGTTTCAGCAGTGGCTGACTTAGGGATGCCTGGGGCAGAGCAGCTGGGATGCTGCCGGGTTGGTCCCGCAGCGCCGAGGGGCGCATACCCCCGAAGACCCCTCACAGCCCCCCCTTCCGATAGTCCGGCATATCTGATAATTCGGCACCCCTTGGGTCCTAAAGGTGCCAGATTATCGGAAGTTTACTGTACTACACACTCTGATTGTCTAGCTACTACTCCAAGGCCAAGTCTTTGACTAGAAACTTCTGCTGGCACATCACTGTCAGGTAGGGGTGAGGGCTTTTTTTTTTTTTAACACTATAATTTTAATTTGGCAAACACCTTAAACAGATGTAATTACATTGGTATAGCTATACTGGGAAAGCTCTTCCAATGCAGACTAAATCTGAGACAGAACTTGCCATTTCTCACCTCCCCATCAAATGGAATGTGTTACAAGACTGCACACAGAGGGGCATGCTGCTCCCTTTCTGTCCACCTCATACAGAGGACTAGGATTTCGCAAAAGTGCCATGAGATTTTAAATAGGAGTATTATTAAAATACAGAAGCAACTTAGGACTGTCACTATGCATCAGCCACCCAACACATAGCAAGATGACAACAAAACTTTATTTATGTAAATTAACTCTTCATGCACATATTCATTTCCCACCAGTGGGACTTCCCTGCAAAACAAGCTGAACATCTCGGCTGCAGCTGAGAACCAAGTTCATGACGCATCTTCTGGGAAACCCCAGCAGTAACTAGTCTTCTACTTGCAGAAGCCCTATTTTACTTCAGTTTTTGCAAGAATCACAAAAATTTACCCAGAGGAACAAACACTGTGTGCCTAACTTTCCCACTGATGATTACGGCACCAATATTCTACTCACCTGGGAAAGCTGAATTTAGTTTTAAAGTGTCTACACTGCTATGCAATGGTCCCAACTCCTAATGAGCCAATGCTGAATGACTGATCTATGTTTTGTCATGGATTTTAAGCTTGCTGAAACAGGGACCATGACTTTGTTCTGACTCAATACTCCGAGTGAGGTGCATGCTCAAATTGCTAGCTGCCATACAGAAAGAAAAGCAGGTAAGTCCTGAAAAATGTTTGAGACGCTGAAGCTCTATAGACTTTTGGGCAGTTAAAAATACACATACTACAATGAAAAAAATCACTCAGTAGTACACCACACAACATCAGATTTGTCATCTTCCTTTCATCAGCTCAATCAGATTGGATGATTTCCTCAGCTGACTTGAGGGTCACCACTAAGCTTGGGGGAAAAAAGAAAAAAGCATGAGGCCTACAGCAAACAGCTGCAACTACTTAAAAAAGTGAGCTAACCAAAGGAGATATGAGGGGATTCCTAGATGTCATCAGACAGGGAAATTCACCACCTGTTTTCACAAGGTTAGCAAGTTGACAGCTAGTCCACTAATAGATCATTAATACAAACACAGTAGGGTCTTTGTGTCAAAGACAAATTCCCCACCTGCTGGTAAATGTAAATCTGACGCTACCAGCAGCATGCGGGGGGGAGGAGGGGAGAGATTGGCTCTGGTTTTAAACCTGCTTTAAGTGAACACAATTTTGCACATAGTGTACTTTTAAGATCAGACTCAAGCCAGCTTTGTAGGCATAAGCTGACCTGTTCCATAAGGGAAACCTAAACAAAGTAACGTCCACTAACACTCTCATCAGATTCCGCTGCTAACTGTGACACAGGCATGCAGAACCCAGCCAGCAGGCCTTTGATCAGAGTACTGCATTATACTGAGCAAGAGACAGTCACTACCAGAGTTCAGTTACGTCCATTACCCACCACAGAAAAGAAGTCACAGTATAATTGTGCCTCGATTTATCTTCCTTCCAGTACTCACCATTTGACTGAATGCTTCAGTGTCAACTGTTTACACTAGGATCAAAACAAACAAATTCTAAAGCACTATACAATGTCCTTACTCTGCTGATCCTGGTCATTGGCACCCAGGCAATGCCTTGTAATCAGAGAGAGTCTGTATGAAAGATGCTGCAATATACGGTAACTAGAAGATTTACCTGGTGTTGCTCAGGTTCTTATGCTCAATTTTCGCTCAGGGGTGGAGCTGGGAATGAGGGGTTCAGGATGCAGGCTGCCTTGCAGAGAGAGGAAAACCCTAGCCCTCTCTCAATGCAGCAACTTGGGGCCATGTGAGAAGCACCTCTCCATGCAGGCAAAGCCAGGAGAAGGATGTATGTCCTCAGCCTGGGGCAGGTCCAGGTTCTTCTACCTCCTGCACTCCCAAGCCAGAGTGAAGAATGGAGCAAACTGTGCACTTCCCCCTCACTCTCTGATGAAGGGGTATAGCCAGCAGTGTTTCCAAATGAATCAGGGAGGGAGGGGAGAGGAATCTGCAGCCCCCCTGACTCCCACCATCCCTAAAGAGTGTCTAAAGGGATGTTCGGGCCTGGGACAGTCCTGAATCAGGGAGGAGGAGGAGGGAAGTAGAGAAGAGAGATGCTATCAGCTAGCCTCTTTCACTTGCCTAGTTGTTTTGTCTCTCTTCTGTATGGTTTTATGCATCCCTGTCCCCCGCACAATCAAATCCTTACCTTGCTTTAAGTTATCATAAGAGGATGCTGCATACCATATTTGGTGGTCCTAGCTCTTACCATTTAGGAACAGTTCTTGGACAGACAGACAGTCGCTCACTCTCAGACAAACTCTCTCAAATATACAGTAGACTATAAAACCTAACTCTTCTGTTCCAAAGAGCCTATATTAGGGCTCAACAGAAGCAGTGCACCTGCAAACAGTTTATAAACCTTAGAAGGAACAAACCCCTTTCTAAGATTACTTATATTCCTTTTCCGTTAAGGGGAAATAGTCCAACCCATTATAACAAGACTTAAATAAGTCTTCAATAAAATCACAGACTATGATTTTGTTGCACAAACTTTTCACACATCACATCTTCTTATGGATCCCACAAATCTGTGTCTTTGAAACCATCACCATTGCTCTTGCAGAAGCTAGAAGCACCCCCAGCCCCCCCAAAAATCAAGGTGAAAAGATGCAAGCCCGTACACAGGAATTTCGGGGGGAAGGGTACTTCTTTTGTAAATGTGGACTGCAAGAGTGTGAATACAGGCAGTCCCCGGGTTACATGGATCCGACTTACATCGGATCCCTACTTACAAACGGGGTGAGGCAACCCTGCACTAGCTGCTTCCTCCCAGCAGACCAGGGAGATGCGAAGCTAGCGCCCCCCCCCCCCAAGCAGGCCAGGGAGATGCGGAGCGGCTTTTCTCAGGAGACACCTCAGCTTGAGAATAAAGGATTGAGGGAAGTGAGGTGTGGGAGAATAAAACTGAGCTCTGGAGAAATGTTTGGCTAGAGTTTCCCCTACAATATGTACCAGTTCCGACTTACATACAAATTCAACTTAAGAACAAACCTACAGTCCCTATCTTGTACGTAATCTGGGGACTGCCTGTACAGCCCTTATGGTCCCCCAGGTAAGTGGAGAAATCAGCCCCAGCCTTTCCCCAGCTGGTCAGAACATGGGGGAAGAAAGCCTTGGGCAGCATACTGCTCCTGCCTTCCCCTGGCCAGCAGGAGCATGCTTTGGGAGACCACAGAGGAGTGCTGTCACACCTTTCACATCCTCCCTGTGTACGGGCCTGAGATGGATTTAGATTTCTGGACCTCACACAAATAAAACCTCAAATCTCACAAACAACATAGCCAGGCTCCCAGAAGGAAGAGGTCCTATTACTCGATACATGCACATCCACCTCCGCTACTAATGGGAACACAGCAAGAACCTATTATAGCTTGGTAGGTAGAGATACTGATGATAGATAAGCCAGCAAGACTTCCTCTTCAGAGACTGGAGGTTTGAAGTCAGAATTGCAGTCTATATAACACAACACTACCACTGCTTGCAAATTAAATCTTTGAAATCCTGTTCAACTCTTATTCTCCTAGCTCTCTTGGGGTCTGCCACATCCATGTGGACTTTCTTCCTGCATCCCTTTTCCAGTCCCATCCTCCCAACTTTGTTTTTCATCCTGTAAGCCAATCAGCCTTCTAGTCAGAGACTGCCCTTTCTGTGGAACCCACCAACATCAAACAGAAATTCTTCGGTTCTCCATAAGCGCTCTCTGCACTTCTGACCCAGGACTCCAACCCAGCGCAGTACTGCTAGTGGAGTCCAGTCTCGAAGAATTTAACATATCAACACTGAGGTTTTCACATAGCCCATTCCATTGCTTTAAACTTCTTATAATGTTTAAACCCATTAACATACTGTACTGCTAGTAAACATACCCAGCATCGCAAGGCAACCTGTAAAGAGCAGCATAAGGGACTGAACATGAGATGCTTGAAAACGAGTAAAGAATCATCACAGATAAACACAATTACTGGTCTACAGGCTAATATCTTGAGATTAACGTGTGGCTCTACCTCCACTGAGACTCCAGGGTTTACCTAAATAGCTCTGTTCATTACAAACAGGCCAGCCTTCATTACTATTTTAAGCCGGCACCCTGCCCTACTTCCTGCAGACTCAATTCCTAAGCAAGCAGCCTTCCTTCATTTTCCAATCATAAAACCAGTTAAACACTGAAAATGATATTATAGCTAGAAATGGTAGAGTCAAGTCATATATTTTATTATTAAATGAATTTTTTATTTAATTGAGATACCTGACTTATCTGAACTCGTTTGTTCTGACTGCTAGAGAATAGAGACTCTGAACAGCAAGTACAGATCTTAATATGAAGAATGGCACAAACCTTTCATAGAAGAATATTCAGATAACACAGGAAGTCACATTTTATAGACGATTCACATGTTAACCGCAACTCTTGCTACTTACATATGGGATGCTCCCCCTCTTTTCCATGTTTTTGCACCATTCTGGCACTTCATGTGCGCTACTCCAAAGAAATAATCTTTTATATTTTTCACAAAGCCTCCTCAATGATTTCTAATGATTTTATATCTTTGCTACCATATATTAGATTTTGGTAGCAGCATAGACAGCTCTGCTAAAATGCAGATAAATCAGAGGATAGCATAATGACAGAGCAGTCATGTCTATTCGCTACCAAGATATGGCTTAGGGCACTTGATTCAGCAAGGTTCTTAGTATAAAGATTGTTAGACACGTGAACTGGTGGTGTCGCTGCTAATATACAGGACTGGGCAGGAGACATTTAGTACCAGATGCACATTCTAGTTTAATCTTCTGCTCTTCCATAAGGTATTAGTCAGAGTGCCACGGTCTGCATCACATTTGATTTCTGTTGCATTTTTGGATGTATCACCACATGATCTTGACTGTATTAGCACAAATTCTGCAGCTGACGATCCAAGCCCCAGCTGCAAGATGTCCCTTCCCTAACCACACCCTATGTAAGACCACCTTAGTTAAGAAGTGTCTTTGGAGCATAAAAGATCAGTCAATAAGTAAGGAATATTCAGTGACATTTCCAGATTTCTATAGCCCTTAATGGGATAGCTATGTCTATGCTTAAAATCTTAAGTCTTTCAGGATATGCGTGTGTGTGTGTGTTGTGACACCATCAGGCTTTTAGGAATCCCAATGATGTGTCTTATGTCAGATGGCAATTGCACTTTTAATGGTGCTCACAAGGTTTGAGAAAGTTCCCCTTGTCCCCATACAAATTTGTACCTTTTGTCCTCATTTTTAACCACTACTTATAGCAGCCTATTTTTTTCAAGTGTTTTTTAAATTAGTTTAGACATATTACAACATTAGACAAGATATAAACATAATTAGTTTATATTTCAGGAAAGAGTACATTAAATATTATATTATGAAGACCTTCACATGTATTTCTTTCTTTTAATAAAGATTTCCCCCATGCTTAAGGTCCATCTGTGCTCCTCCTCAGAAGAGTCCCATTCCTAGTGTGTGCAGTTTTAGGCTAGTTTTCGTTTGATATTTTTATCAATGTACTGTGTTATGAAATAGCTGTACAGCACCTGTGTGCACCTCAGATGGGGAAGAAATACAGTCAATTAGAAAATAAGAACATTGTGTGTTAACAAGGTATAGATGTTAAAATCACAACTTTTATGAAGCACAAGGCCTCAGAACAGGCCTAGCAAGGTAAAAAAAAGCACATTTTCTAGCTCCATTCTGATGTGCTTTGTAACCATGTGAAGAAACCCATTCAAAGCCATGAAAAAGTAGAATAGACACTACACTTGATCTTAGCCTTCAAGAGGCCGAGAAGCGATATTGGCATCAACCTCACTCACCGATAAAGCTGCCATTAAAGTCACTGGGAGCTTTGCCTGACTGCATAATCAGACCCAACCTTGCTAAAAACAACAACTGCCCTATACCAAGAGCTGCCCATGCTACAAATATATGGAACACGGCCTGCACATAGAGAGCGAGATGAGCCATCCTTTGTGCATTTATATTGCACTCAAAAATAAGGCCTCATCTGAGCTAAACAAGCATACTCTGTTAAGGCATCACCTTGACAAGCACACAGTCTTCCATTCCCATAAATACTGAAATTTCCAAGGTTTGGCGCTCTCAATAGGAAAAATTTAAACAGCAGATAGTCCTCTAGCACCTTACAGACTAACAAAAAATGTCGATGGCTCTATACTACCATCTACATTTTTTGTTAGTCTCTAAGGTGCTAGAGGACTATTCGCTGTTTTTTAAGTTTCAGTTACAAACACGGCTACCCCTCTGAAACTCCTACTAGGAGTCCTCCTTTTCTCATCTTGCTATTTACTCCCTTGGCTAACTCCTCAATGGCATGCTGCCATAGGCCTTGAGTCATGATCACTTCACAGTATACTCATGTATTAACGCAATCAAGATCTAACAAACATTTGGAAAAATTCAAACCAAGAACCAGACTCCTGAAACAAGTAAGGAAACAGGGTTTTATCTTGAGAACTAAATGTTTTTATGATAACTTGAGTGAATTGTCAGAGCGCAGGTCAAGCACTAGCAAAGAAAAGCTGAGGGCTTTTAAACTCACCCTTCTTATGCTGTTCCCGTAGTAAAAATAAACTGGACATGCAGCTATGTGACTGACAAAAGTTAAATGCTTGTGAGAGAGGAGAAACAGGGAGTTCTGAAACATGATAAACTCAGTCTCAATACCAAAAACAATTCTTGCTTGTGAGAGAGATGTCTATCAATGTGGTCTTGACCAAAGCAGGAACTGCTCAGTGCTAATCCCAGCATTAGCTATCATTCATAGCATGGCCTTAAAAAGTCACTTTATTTCTCTGTACTTCAGTTCCCCTCTGTAAAACAGCAAATGTGTTTCCTTATTTCACAGCAGAGCTGCAAATTAGTGGCTACATTATAAAGCTATTATGCAGATTACTGTGAAACATGAAACAGTGGCTGTAGCTGAGAGAAAATGCAAGATTTTAGCAATTCAGTTCCTCACAGTTACAAGTCAGAATCCCAACACACTGACATTACTCCTACCCGAAAAAGTCTCCAACTCAAGATGAGGCTCTTGTTTCTTTGCCTTGACCTAGCCATGTTTTTAAACAACAATATCATTAAAGACAAATGTAAATATAGCTCCGGAGTTGGGTTGCTCTAGCCAATCCACTTGAGTCATCAGCACATAACTTTGGTTAAGGAAAAAAAAAAAAAAAAAAAGAGGATTCCCATTGCAGACAGCTACTCTCACAGTCACCACTACTTTTCAGACAATTTACTTTACCCCCAATGGTGATAGTTTATTCTTCACGTAGAATGAAAAATAACATTTACTGTACAATAGGCATGTCTGAAGGCCTGTTACTTCTATGTCAATCAATGCTCTATTTACTCAGAAGAGAGGTATTCAACATTATTCCCTGAGAACACTTCACTTCTGTCCTGGATGACCCCCAATGGGTGTGAGAAAGGAGGTCAGTTCCATGGTCCATAATTCTTTATCTCACTGCTGAGACTGCTAACAAGAGAACTGATTAGAACTTTCATTTGTAGCCCTATTTCAGAGAGTTTATATTGAGCTAAAGCATCACATTTCACCATTCTGAAGTTTTATTGCATTTCATAGGCTTTTGACATGTTAGGCATTTTCAGTTTAAAAAAAAAAGCAGCAAACTACACTTATCTTAAGAGCTGAGTGATTTTGCTCCAAGTAATGTCCTGACAGCTTCCACTGAGACCTACTTCTGGCCAAGTCTAAACTATTAACTATGATAGAAAATTAAGATGTTTGATTAAAACAGACATCACTTGGTTATATGCAGCGCTGCTTAATAATGATATCTGAAATCAGAAATACAAGGGGGCCTCAACCCAGGACTGAAAAGCTAAGATGCTTTAAAATAATAGGTGTAAGCTGACAAACATGAAGAACTACAATGCTTCCAACTGCTTTTAACAGAACATAATTAAGGTTAATGTTTTCACAGTCCTTTGGAAATTTAAGTTCATAAGCTAAGCATTATTAAAAACTGCAACAGGAGAGACATTTTCAATGCAAGAATGGAACAAAATTAGCTCTGATTTCTCTCAAGGTCTAAAACAGGTGGGAAACTTCAGAGATGCGGGCCCTGACTTGTCTGGATCTGGTCCCCAAGGCTCAATCCCCTCTCTAGCACTGGGGAGCATGCACTGGCACTCCAGCCCCTCCCCCCCACTGTGGGGCTGGAGCACTCAAAATCTACTAGGCTGGGTCCCCCCAGGCTTTGGTGTGTGAGGGAAATGTGGGGAATGACTTTCACCTTCTCGGTTGGGGGCCCACACCAGTGAGGGTTGGTTTTTTTTTTTGGCTTCTCATGTGTGCAGCCTCCAACTGACTTTTCTGTTGGTCAGTGGCCCCGACCCAAAAAGGTTCCCCATCCCTCATCTAAAATGTAAATACTGCAAACAATACTACCACCTTTTAATAAAAATTCTTTAAAAAAATGCATGGAATTCCTCCCCGGGGCATCCAAAGCCAGTCCTAACAGGGCTCATAGTCTACCTGGGGAATGACCTCCATAATCACAGCACTCTATCTATTGGACAGCCCCCTAAAGAGACTATCCCCCATGCTTCACTACATACTATCAGCATGTATTTGTAAAGTGAATGATCCATAGTGTCTCAGTTTAAGATCCAGCAAATAACTCACTACACCTGTATGCACTCCTCCTGGCTGAGGACTAATTATTTGAGACCACTCCCAAGCTCTAGCTTTCTCGGTATTGGACTGCTATCAAGCCCCCAAATCTACTCTATCAAATGTATTCAATTCAGTACAACAACAACATACATATCATTAATAGGATTTCACAGAAATGAGTCCAACAGCTCAGCTACAATGTAAACTAAGAGCATGAATAAAGACGATTCAGCTGAACAGGCATTACCCTCTAATTTCTAGCAGTAATATTAAATATAACATAAAAAAGATCAAATATCTAACCAACTCAGGAACCTCAGGATCCAGGATACTACTTTTCTCCACTTTGCCTATTTATCAGGCAACAGCTATTAACATTTGAACACAAAAAGTAAAAATTAATTAGGGCTCGGGTAAGAGTAGCAGGTAGAGGACAGTCTGCAGAAGCTCGGTACCTGTGAAATGTATCATATTCCTGGGAGAGAGCTCCCCTAGCAGGAAGGGTTAAAGGTAGTAAAACTCAACAGAACAATTTAAGATGCCCAAGTGAGCAACCTTTGCAACTGTGCAATTAGAGAGCAGTGATGGCGGCTGAACAAAAATTTAAACATATAAACGTTCTCCCATACACGGATAGGACAGATAGCCCCAGATTAATTAGGACAGCTAAACCTACATGGCACAAGCTTCCAACTAATCCAGGAACTTCTCGATTAACATTTTGCCCTTCTCTCTATTAACTGCTGCAGACATCGTCAGCTCTTTTAAAATAGCATCGACTAGACGAGGTGGAG